AAAAAGTAGCGTCATCCTGCGTTGCGTGACTCTGTTGAAAAGATCAACACTCGTCTCTCCCAACGTGTGGCACAGAAAAGTGTAAAACCCGTGATAAGGGGGAAAGGCAAATGAACTAAAAACTGTAAAAAAAACAAATGGACTACAGTGACCTCAGAGTGGAGTCAGACTCAATATAGGTAGGTGTCATGTTTCGTGTACGTCAGCGGTCCCAGTACATTAACAATCCAATACCGAAAATAACAAATTAAGGAAGCATGCAGTCTGCTGTCTGTACTAGGATAAGAACCCCCAAAAAATCTCGGAAGAAAGGAACAGCAACCACGGTAAAAGGGGGTCAAACCAGAAAAACTCCCCAGGGTGCGCAAAAAGAAAACATCTTGTCCGGTTACCGATAGAACGACTGGGGAGTACACAGCCACCCTTGTGACCCTTGCCTCCCTTACCATCTCCTTTGTTCTTGCCTTTTGCTCTGGCACGGGTCTGGGGGCCGCGGTCAGGGTAAATCTGTATTCCTTTGAGAGGGTTCTCCAGACGAGCGACCACATAGGGCCACCAGTTGACTTCTGCGCGGATGTTATTGTGGAGGAGCTGGGCCGGCTCGCCACGCCGGAGCGTGACCACAAAGGCCCCGCTGCGGTCCTTACGGACCCAATCCACCAGGCCATCCAGTGTGACGCAGTCTCTAAGCCTCTGCCGAGCCTCTGCTGTTGGAAACCCCCACTTGTTGTTAGACAAGTCCTGAGCCTTCTGCTGGGCCTGAGGTTCGTCCACCTGCCTGTCCGTAGCCTCATGTAATTCCTGGTGGATGGCCTGTACTGCTCGGGTTTTGAGGTCCATTCGGTTTTCCAGGCCCTCCACTCTATCTTCCAGCTTTTTGAGTTGCTGTTGAAGCACTGCATTGTTTCCCCTCCGTTGTGGTGCGGCCATGAGGTCGTCGGTGCTACCGCGGACTTTGGAGAGCTCGTGGCTGTGGCATCGGAGGAAGACCAAGGGGCAATGTTACATGTCAAGATGATGTAAGGTCTGGGGAGATGTTTCGATGCCCGGGTTGGCTTTTAGTAGGTCATGAGTCACCTGAGTGTGATCACAATCTCTCTGCAAGTGCAAGTCCCGGTTACTGCTCCGTGCGTCTTTTTGGCAGTGCGGGGATGAGTCGCGCGTTCAGCGCCGCCTGAGAATGTGAGTATCGTTCGTGATTCTTGCGCGCTTGGACTGACTCAAAAGTCTTGGGACAGAACAGACACGTTTTATTTGCCATGCCTGGGCCTCGACAGGTGGGTCTGTGTTGGGGCAGGTCCGTAGGACGAAATTCCTCTCCACACCTATCGCACGCCGTCCTAAGTGCAGGTGGGCGCCTTCGAACAGGCGGGGGTGATGGGGGTCTTTGGCGTCCCAAGGGGTCGAGAGGCGGAGTGGACCATGCTTCACAGTGGGGAGACATGCGACCGGTGCACCCTCTGGCCGCTAAGCGGTCTGCCGTTTCATTCTCGTGGGCCCCACTATGGCCTTTGACATGCTCAAAACGGAGGGCCATCTTGCTGCGAACATTGTCGACGAGGCTGGCGACTGTTTCGGCCAGTCCGTGATTGGAGTCCGGTCTACTCAATTGGAGACCCCATAGGCATACATGCTATCGTAGTGTATACATGCTTGGGGGGGGGAGAATTCGCCCCTGATCCAAACTGTCGAGTACCCAGCGACATGCTTCCCCAATCCCAGAAAGTTCAGCGGTGTTATTGGTGTGCTGCGTCGCTCCCAGCCACAAGGGGTCAAATGAAGTGACGAGAACCGGTCCATAAAGAGCTGCCGTCCACGCAGTATTGAAGTCCGATTGTGGTTGGACAAAGATGCCGACTCCCCACCCGGCCCCGTGACCTTGTCCCCCTGATCCATCCGTGAAGGGGGGTACGGTGGAGCTGCCGGCTATTCGATCCCAATCAGGGGGACCACCCACTGCCTCCAGCGGGTCTATCTGGCGGAGCCGGGCTAATGGTTGTAATGCGGGGCAAACATGGGATTTGCGTTGATGTTGTCGACAAAAGGAGGTCCCACATTTATCGCGTGGAAACACTTGGGTCGTGACCAGTTTAGGATCCGCAATTGCATGTTGTGCTTCATAGTGGAAGCTCAGTTGATTGGCCTTAGCAAATGTCTGTTGACACACTGGACATTCAAATTGACCTGTCGCATTCCTCGGGACCCGTTGTTGACGGATGGCATGGGGGTCGCCATATCTGTATTCCCGGCATACCAGCTGTCTTCTGGGTCGTCCCCGTTGTCGTTCACCCAGGTCGACTTCAGTTCCGTGGTCTGAGTGGGCGTCATCCCGGTGTGGGGCCGGCTGCACAAACCCAGGCAAAGGTTGCCCGAAACGCCATTGGTCGAGTTGCCGCTCCTTCTGTGTATCCACTTGTTCGGGCGGGAAGGCCTGATACACCCGTCTGCGCCAGTCTCCTGCCGGTTTTGCGCTAGCCTGAACCAGTCCAACTCTGGGATGGCCGCCATGCGCAGGCAGGAATTGATCCACTGAGCTTGTTTGGGGGGGCGTGGGGTTTGGCCCCGGCATTCTCCAACCAACCGTACATGGCCGCCTTTTGGGGGGCCTCCACCGGCATGCGGGCAACATGCCCAATCCAGATAAGAGTGGCTCGACGTACCGACGTCTCAAAACTTTCCCACTGTGTGAGCTGCTGGAGGATATCATTACTTAGCCCCAAAGGTTTGATCATGCCAAGGCGAACCCCGATGCACCGACGAATCGCTAAATTAATCGTTTTTTGGACTCGAGACAATTGATTCATTTGCCAGGCTCTGGTCTTACAGAAGCTATAGAGGACCCCTTTTACCACCACCTTCATAACCTTGACTCGAACTGAAAGACGGATGCGACGTTTGTTGCTCTGTGTGCCCCGCCCCCGACTCCACGCTCCGGCGACCCAGCCGATTTTACTTAGAGCCTTACTTACTCTAGCCTGAGTTTCCACCACGTGATGACCCCGGTGGTGCAACTGCGCACCCACATGTTTCACTGTGACAGCTTCCCCCAGAAAACGCACGTCAAAGGGCGGGGGAGGTTCACTACTACCCGGAGACCTTCAGTTTTATGTTGATTGACCTGCCCAGCAAAATCTCTCAAAGTCGTTTGAAAGAGCTGTTCTGCCTGCTTAACTTCTTCAGCAGTCCCCACAATACCAGTATCATCTGCATATGCGAAATTGCCAATCACTCTTTGACGAACATTGCGGCCTTCTTCGAGTTGGTCCAATCTACGTTTGCCTACCTTTCCATCTATCTTGAAGGCCCAGGGAACGCCGGGTGTTTGGTCCACCTCGATGGCCACGCGGGCGCGACGGGCACGAAAAACCTCCATGATACCGCTATGATATATGTTGAACAAAATTGGACTGCTCGGGCAGCCTTCCCGCAAGCCCCGGTCTGGTGTAAAACTGGAAGACAACATACCGTCGTAGCGGACCTGACTAGACGTGTGATTATGTAGGCCCTTCAACACTTGAAGAAACCGGGGGGGGCACCCTTTGATGTCAAGCAACTTCCACAACCCGTGTCTAGCCACTTTCGGGTATGCCTTCTCCAAATCAAAAAAGCGGAGAAGATAGACCTGGTCGTGTACCGAACCGGCCGCCTCCTCGAGGATGGCCCTGGTAATTTGATGGACATCGTCCGTCCCACTGCCGGGGCGGAATCCGAATTGCATGGGGTTTAACCAAGGTAGACACCACCGTTGTAGTCTGGCTGAACATATACGAGCCAACAACTTGGACCCTACGGACAGGAGTGTAATTCCTCGCCGCGTGTTGCGATCCTCACGTTTACCTTTGCGTTTCCAAAGGGGGATAATAATACCTTTGTTCCAGGCCTGAGGGAAGGGGTCCGCTTCATGTCCGGGTGAAGTAGTGACCGTGTTAGTCCAAATCTAGGTAACCAAATCGGCAAGTTCCTGGTGAAGAAGTGGCCCCCAAAATTTGAGGTATTCAGCCATGAAGAGGTCGGATCCGGGGGCGCGGCCGTTTTCCATGGCCTGGATGGCTCGTTCAACTGATGGAGGGGTCGCTCTCCACGCTCGAAGGATACGACGGGAAATCATTGGAGGGGCTTGAGTGGAAGGCCGGTAAATGGGTCGAGTTAGCCCGTGAAAGCTAAGAAGAGGACGCGTGAGCCCGCGTCAGGGTTAGTGAAACTCACAAAACCAACGTAGTCGCCTTTGGGTCGTCACCGAGCAGAGACCACCGAAGATCACACCCTCTGTGAATCCCGAACCGTAGACCACACGGTTAAGGATGTTCCCCCTCGGCCGGGCACTCAGGGGAGACCGTTCGGCGCCTAGGCCCCGGCTGGTCAACCGCCCCCGAGTTCGAGCCGAGAGGGCATCGATGACTGTCCGATCGGGGAGATACCAGAACCGTGGTGTCACCAGGGGAGACACCCCTCGACCAAACCATGAGAACGTTCCTGGTGAGGCTCCTGCCAAGGCAGGGTGGGATTAGCCCGACTACTGGGGAACCACAGTGCGCCCAAATAATGAGAAGAGGGCGGTGTGTCAAGACCAGATTGGAAACCTAAAGCGGGCACTTCGGGAAACTGGGGAAGATGGCCTGGGCGGAGGCAAACTGCCAAGCGACGACGTCACGGCCCACCCCGTGCCCTATTTTCAAACCCCCACTGCGACGTCACAGAGTGACAAAGAAGGGGCCGTGCAAGTGGCATGTAGTCGTAGTCGGTTGCCCCGGAGAAGGCCGCGAGGAGGCCGTAGCGGTCATCCTGGCAACTTTGAACGAACGCATCTCAGGGGTAATGTATCCCATTGTGGACGACGACGACGAAGTACAGTGTCGCCCATAAATGAGCATACTGTGGCCAGGTCGTCATTGTTGGATAAGAGCCGCTGCACTATGTGAAAGGCAAAAGAGTAGCGCAGAAAAGAGAAAACTGATGCAAGAATTAAGCAAAAAGCAGCTGAGCCAAGTAGGTCGACCCAACTGATCAAAAAGTATCCAGTTCAGCGTTGCGGAAGCACACATAGATGAGAAAAACGTAGACCCCGAAAATGTTACTTGTGAAAAGCAGCACGGAATCGAAGGATCTGAAACCATAGGAAAAACATGCAGAGTAGCAATCACTTCCACTGATTGCCAGACGAAGTGCAGCTTGCATTCAAGGGCAGCTTGAGCTAGAGGCCCCTCACCTTACGGGCCAGGCCACTCATGGGCTTGGCGCCCAAAACCTCACCTTTCTGCTGAAGCAATAAGGACTTGAACCACGAGGCATGTGGAGCGAAGATGGACGAGGCATGGAAGCGAAGTTCAAGAATCACGTGAGTTTCCTGCTTGGAAAGTCTGGCGCTGCAGTGCGCCACCTCTCCGGCCACGTTGGCTGGGGCGCAGTGCTCCATGAGGTCTTTCAACAAACACCATGCCACGTGCGAGCTCTGGTCCTCGTTCAAATTCTTCAGGAGAAACTGAAACAGCACTGTAGCTGTCGCTGTGCCGCACGCCCCAAACGGGTGCGGTCGACCCTTCTGGTGAGCAGTCTGCCAAGTTTTCACAGCCTCCATCAACTGAGACGCCACTGGAGCGTCAGGAACAAACTTCAGGGCTAAGGTCAACGAGTGATGGAGAGCCCGCAGTTCATTCTCTTGCTGCAGAAAAGCCTTGGTCAGGTCAGCATTGCTAAGCACGGCGCCCTCAGGGCGAGTACCCACCCCTTGACGGTTACGCTTGCGCACACGGCTGCTAACCGGCGCAGCCATTGCTTCAAGGATGCCGGGGGGCGTCGCCATAAGCGGTCGCAACCGAGGAGTGGTCACAGACCTTTCCAGCTAAAGAGCCCAGAGACTGGCCATCAAACAATTTCCCGATGCCTGCGGCCGAACTCACAGTTCAGCAAGGCCGAACCCCGGGCGGCCGTAGCTTCCAGGGCCTAAGCACCTATCTTGTGGGAAAAAAGAGAAAATGAAGACAAGATAGGCCAGCGCACCAGATCCAAATAAACATATGGCAGCCAGCCCATAAAGAATGAAAAAGGACATGATTAATGTTTGCGTTTGCGACGCATACCCAAGGCATGAGTGGACTCCCAAAACGTGTCACATTGGTCACAGGGCAGCACGTATTTGTTTCCTTGCACTACAGCGGTGCTGCCAGGTCTCCCAAGACATTGAGAGCGCGCATGCCGATTGAGCTGAGACACGTCCAAGAAGCTCTTGCCACACAACACACAAAGGTACGGGCTGCAGCGGTACGAACTCGCTCCCGGGAAGGTTCAACAACAGGCCGGTCAGGGCATTTGCGTTCATGAACCGTCAACGCCCCTTTGTGCTTGTACTCCTTATTGCAATACTGGCAGTGGCGAATCCGGACACCACCTTGTCCATGCTGAGAATGAATGCGCCGGTTCAAACCCTGCAAGTTGCTACCAATATATGTACAACCAGGATGTGGGCAGTGAAGGTCTTGCTCAGGAGCCCGACGACGAGGTCGAAGGCGAGCCTTAGCTTCAGGAGCTGTAGAGCGACCTTGTGGGGCAATGTCGATTGCGGACACAGCTCCCTTCCAGAAAGACTTGTCCATAGCCTGCTGCGCCCAAATCCGCGTATCAGCTGAAGGAAGAGATTGCAACAAGCCATTAAGCCGAGAAAGGTATGTCTGTCGAAGGCTAGAAGTGGACGCTGGCGGCGAAGTTCGGTTCTGCAATGTGCCAAACAAAGCAAGACGTGTAATGCGATGCACAGGCATGCGAGCCAAGTGTCCCAGCCATTGAGCAAGACGGCGATGAAGAAGAGTCAGAATGGACGGAATTCTCAACCGCTGATGCAAAGCAAGGTCACTGATGCGCTGTTCCATCACCTGTCTGTAGCTCAAGCACAAGGCGTTACGCAAAAAGGAACGCCAAGTTCGTTGCAACATTCGAATATCAGCCGCGTCCAAAGTCCAGCGCTCACTGCCAAAAAGCAAAACGCTTGCGACGCAACTCAGCAGAAGGTCGCGCTTGAGGCGAAGAGACAGCTGCCGGCTGCGCCACACGTGACGCAGCTGCCCAAACGCGGCGTGCGCCAAAGAAACACGACGATGAAGATCCAACTTGACGCCAAGAGCGCTGTCGATGCTGATCACAGAACCCAAGTATCGGAAAACCGCTGTTTTAGGGATGGGCACCCCGTTCACAACTAAGATTTTGCAGCCGGGAAGAGGAGCAGCGTCACGGAAACGTGAAAAACCTGTGACTTCAAGCCACTCCGTTTTCTCCTTGTTCATGCAAGCACCAAAAAGTTGAAGGGTGTCATCCAACAAAGTACTGCACTGCTGAAAATGTTCCCAGTTGGAATCCAGATAAACTGTGTCATCTGCAAATTCGGCGTCACTGAAGGAGAGAAAATGGCAGTCCGCCCTGCGGATACGACTAGGATTGCGAAGAGAGCCGTCGACGCAACCTTGCCAATCAACACCAAACTTACCCGCGGTAGACAAACAGCGAGACCGCCAATGTTTCATGACGAAGCTGTAGTATATGAGGTAGAGCGTAGGGCCTTCCACGGACCCTTGCCGGACACCAGTGCGCATCTCAATACGAGGGCCCAAACGCCCCTTGTGGCAAACTCAAGTAGTCATGTTGGAGTGCAACTTATTCAAAAGGCTGACAATATGAAAGGGACTCCAGCCTTTTTGTGAAGAAGTTGCCATAATGACCTACGAGGTACTGCGTCAAAAGCTTTCCGAAGATCGACAAAAAGAAGAAATAAGCTGTCAGTGAGCTCCGGGTCGGCAGAAGAATTTGCGAGGGGAAAGCTCTGTCGCCACTCGGTCATGCACCGTCGCAAAAGAAAAGTCGCATCAGCAACCCCCCTGCCCGGTCGGAAGCCCGACTCGCTATCAGAGCAAACACGCTCAGCCAAGGCAATCAACTTGCCATTGAGTATTCGACTAGTCAGTTTCGAAAAGATATCTAATAACACAACACCACGCCAGTTGTGCAAGTCGTTGTACTCACCTTTGCCTTTGTAGATGGGGTACAGTACAGAGTCATGCCAGTGTTGGAGGTCAAGGGGTCGAAGACGACTGTGCCAAAAATTGCAAATCAACTCATGTACAGCCTGCAAAATACGTAGTCCAGAACCAACTGTAGGCAAAGCTTTGAGCAGCTCAGCATGGTTGCCAAGGCCATCCGGCGCCTTACCACAGGTCCAAGGCTGTAGGATCCACCGAGAAGTCAACGTTGAGCACGGCCGAAAAGTGCGCTGCCAAAGTACCAATATGGTGAGGGTCAGTTGTTAAAGGGGTAGAGGTCAAACCTTGGGATTTCAACAAACGACCAAGTTGACGAGCTTCACCGTACAGAGTTGAAGGATCCTTGCCGCGCGAAGCTCTTTGCATGACCTCCAATCGACTCTGCCACCACTGTTGCTTAAGCAGGCGCACCTGCCGGCGGCTGTTGGCACGGGCGGTACGCAGCGCCGACAAAGTTTCATCGGTCGGAGAGCTGCGCCAGGCCATAAACGCCGACTGACGCACCGACGCAAGTTGTTGCAAGAAAACTTCATGTCCTTGACGCCAGTCCGGGCGACTGGTAGCTACTTCACCAAGAACTTTAGCACCTGCGTCACGAAAATGCTGTGGCAAGGACAAGAAACTCCAACCTGTTGAAAAAACCCGTTGGTAGATATCGTCGGCAAGGGGAGTAGCAACTGATGGGTCCTGCAGCTGCTGCACACACGAGGTCGGGAAGGACCAGAATCAACGGTAATCTGTGAAGCTGGAGGTGACGCTGAAGCGAATTCCGGACACGCTCTCAACTTGACGATGACCAAGGAGTGATCGCTAGGAACCTCAGCCTCAGGGATGGCGTGCACGTCAGTCACGTAGCGGCGGTGAGCCGTGCGACTCACCGCCATGTCCAGCAAGCCCCAGGTGCGCCAACGCCGGTGGCGCCAGCTGGCGGTATGAGCGGTATCGTGCTCAAAAAATGTGTTGAGCACGGTCATCTGGTGAGCGACGGCGAACTGAAGCAAGAGGTCACCGTTGTCATTGCGCCGTCCGACCCCGTGGGGTCCCAAAGTACTAGAAGGATAGCCAGGTTGTAGCCGTGAACCCACTCTGCAGTTCCAATCGCCAAGAATAAATGTGATATCCCGAGACGGAATGGTTGAGCAAAAACGACCAAGTTCAAGCCAGAAGTTGGTTTTATCAGTCGAAGAAGCCTGTAGGGTGGGGCCATACACGGCCAGCAGCTGCCAGACTCCTTCACTTCCTGCCAGCGCCAAAGGAATTCGCAAGACACGACCACTAGGTGAGGCCTGCGCCGCACTGCCGGCGCGATGCCATGCAGCTGTTGCACCAGGAGACAGCAACCAACCGACACCACCCATAGAGCCATCACCAGGTCCACCAGCATAAATTAAGGTGTAGTTACCTCCAACATTCAGTGATCCGGAGCCACGCAAACGCACTTCGCTCAGCGCGAGGGCATACATCTTGTAACGAGTCATGTGACCTTTCAAAACTTCCAAGTATTCATCTCCTTCAGACACCAGCAAGCCATCAGGGCTGACATCAAAAGAGCTGCGAAGAGAAGTAACATTCAGGGTGCCCAAGTGGCACGTACTTAAAAACTTCTTTCTATGTGTAACGCTTCCTTGGGATCGTTGCCATTGCCTGGTTCTCCGCCTCGCAGGTACAGGGCTGCGAAACGTCATTGCACCTCCAGGAATGTCAAAGATGTTGCGGTTCGGCACTTCTGTAGTTTCTCACATGACTGGCAAACAAAGGGCATAAACAGTATGTACACGACCTGAACGCCCTGCCAAGACGTCCACATCGGCCACTGACCCATGGAATGTCCACAAGTAAACGAGTCACAGTTGGTGGGCACCCATACATCAGCCGCAGTCTGCAAAGAGGTCCTACCGCCCTCTATTGGCCCCCAACTGCATTCGCGCGAGGTGTGGGACCCCGCTAGTGTTCACAGGAAGTAGGCAGAAGGAGTTCACCCTGGCACCACATTGAGGTTGCAGATCTGACTTTACCAGGGATCCCATTGTGGCCAACATGGAGATGCGGCCGTGCTTCTTCTGTCGTCCACCTCGAGGATGGGACCTGACACCCGAGCACGGGGCATCAGGTCAACATGAAGGGCCGAAGCCACAAGCTAGGGGAGAACCGAGCACGCACTTTAGTTGGCGACTGGCGTCGCCGCTGTTTTGTGTGGTACTGGACACCACTTAGGAGTGAGAGCATGTTAGCAAACTATGGGATACATCAACTCTGCAGAAGTGGCCACGTTGCTTGCTCACAACGTTGAGAGAGGGCAAGTTCTGATGGCAAGCTTGCCGAAGCGTCGCCATCCTGCAGTGATAGTAGCATTGCAGACCTCGCAGGACAGCTCATCCGTTAAGGAACTCGGGATGCGAAAAACATGTAGATTAGACTTATCAGCGTACACTTGTTGGTTATGTTTTTGCACTGTAGTAGCTCTCTAGGCAAGTTTCACACTGGGTCTAGTGGCTCTTAGACTGTCAGCCACATCATGCTCATGTGGACCACCACAATGTTCACGAAGGAATTTACTGAGGTTTGAGTGCCCAGTAGTTTTACAGCAAACTATACAGCACAAGGTTTGGTTCTGCTGGAAGGGAGCCAAGATATGCTTACCTAATTGTTCAGCCGTTCTGTTGTGCAGCAGCCGTTTTTCTACGCGTTGGCGGGCACGCCAGTCGCTTGCTTTGTTGAGTTCATCTTGCTCTTGAGGTTCCCACTG